CTTTTCTGAGATGCAAAGTTAACTAATGAATGTAATCATTTGAAAAAGGTGCGATCCTCCAGCATCCTCCGCTTCCACAATGTGGCTTTCGAATGAAAATAATTGCCCACTCCTGCTGTAGATATTTGCTCTTCCATATTCATCATCTCTTCCTTTTAATTACCTTAACATGCGGTAGCCCAGTGTTCTCGAATACATAGCCGGTATTGTTTCTTTCCAGTTATGAGTTCGAGTCCTGGTGCCGCAAACTACACGCTTCCAAGGCCAGATGACGAAGTCGACTGTTGAGGTGGCACCCCATTATTTACAAAATAGCCATTTTACTCATTTGCTAAAGTAGCCGCGGTATCCTAGTGGTTATGGCTACGAGTTCGAGCTTTAGTGCCAGTGACAACCCACTGTGTAGAGAGGCTGGTGAACGTTAGATGTGTCGAGGCAAAGTCTTTACGTTGGCACGGTGGGGCAATTTGGAGAGTGGAGTGCCAGTTTAGATGTTGCTCTTGTCACTATTTTTAATATTATGAGGTTCTTCATTAGTAGCCTTTATTTACTTTGTATTGCGGTTTTAATGTGCAGTAACAAAGTTTTTAATGCGAAGAAAATTTTTTTTATGTAGTGCAGATGGAACAATATATTTTTTTGTTAATCATTTTGTATAAACGTATCTTAAATTTTTTTTTTTTAAAAAGGTTCTATTAGATCTGTATTTTTTTATATTCATTTTCTGTTTCTTTAAATTAGTTTTTTTTTTTTTTGTGACAATTGTTAATATTTCAATACTTATTATTTGGTATTTTATTCACTACAATTTTGTTATCTGTATTGATCGATCTTTAAAACATTTTTTTTATTCCAATTTTTATGTAAAATTAAAAAAAATTTTTTTGTGTGACCTATAAAGAGAGGCCTAAAAAAATTCAAAATTTTAAATCTGATACTAAGTATGTTATATTTAAATTCTTTATTTTTTTTTTATCTTGATTGTATTCAATTCGACCATCTTCGAGTAAGCGAATTGTATTGTCCATTTGCGAATGTGTCCATTCAGTTATGAGTTGCGAATTCAATATTCCCATTCAAAAGATATCCCCAGTCGGATAAGTCCTTAAAAAACACATTCCTTCTTAAGCAGTGTCTCAAAAAGTTAAAATAGAATACAACTTCTTTTTAAATTAATAGTCAAATTTGTGTGTGTGTGTGTGAATATACGATTATGTTTCACTCCAATTCCATGGTTCACTGGTCGATTTTGATTCACCTCTCGCGATTCCGTCAATTCCTATTGATGGAACCGAAACTCGCCAATGCTCTGTCCGAAACTGACAATAACTCCGAATAATATCATCGATAAATCGTGAAATGTCCGATAAATGATGGCCATTTCAGTGAGAAAAATCCGTTGAAAGAATACAAATATGAATTCTTAGCTGAACTTTGGTGGTTTGCGATGTCTGGGTCTGATATTTCCCGATGTCACACATTGATAGAGACATTTTCTAATAAAATCCATTCTTTTCGCGGTGATCTGTAAGACAGAAAGTATAAATCTTTTTAAGAAATATAAAGGTCTCTCTCTCCGCAGAGTTCATTTTAGCTCAGGTGACGGATAGTGCTAATGATGGCTATAAAGAAAACCTATTGTTTAAAATCTTTCTCCGTTTCGGATTGATCGACATCCCCCATGTCCATTTCTGCAAGTGTTAAAAGTGACACCTGTGAACTCTTTAACGGTTCATCCCCCCCTCCCCTTGGTGGCTATTTTCAACACTTGCTGTAGGAAGTTTCAAAGTTAGCGTGTAAATTATCTATTTATGTTTATTTTCATTGTTCGAATGCATTCCTTTTCCCGCTATTGAAGAATATAAATTACATTTTTTTTAATGAGTGAGTGAATATTAACGTCGCACTGTTCAGCTACACGAGGGCTTTTGGCAACGGACCACGTCATTTTGAACCATGATCAAGTGACGTGGACGACACTTGAGCTCGCACCCCTCTCCTAACTACCACGCCACACCAACGGGAGGACGTTTCAGCTCTCGACAGATTTAGCGTGCATCGCTGTCCTATACGGCGGGTCTTTAGTGGTACTGGGCTCGAACTGATGACATTCCTGCCATGATCCGATACCTTGACTACTGGGCTACCGCAGCCCTTACATTTTTTTTCGGACAACCACTTGAAGAATTTTTTTTTTTTTTAAGGAACGGTTTCACCTTTTCCTTTCACATTAAATTTTACGCAAATAGTGCGAAATCAGCAAATTAAAGTCGATCTTTTTTCCCTCCCACCATCTTGCCGTGATAGTCAAGTGCTGATGGCTAAGGTCACGAATCCGTGGCTGGCGTGTCATGGGTTCGAGTCCTGTGGCGCTGAAGACCCGGCTTGTAGAGGGGGCCGTTGCGCGTTTAATCTGTAGACGTTCAAACATTCCGCTGGTGTTGTGTGGAAGTAAGAGGGGAGGGGGGTGCCAGCTCAGATGTCGTCATCGTCATTTGACCATGGTTCAAAGTTAAGGGGTCCGTGCGGCTTTATAGTGCGACATTAATGTCGCACCACTTTAACATCAAGTGGTCATGGTCCGCGAACTTGTGATCGGTGTTGTTCCTGTCGAGTCCAGGGTTCGAGTCCTAGTGCCACTAAAAGACGGTGATGCACGTTAAATTTATCGAAGCTTGGCGTGGTTTGAGATGCCGCGGTAGCATAGTGGTTATGGTCACGAACTCGTGGCCAGCGTGTCATGAGTTTGAGCTCTAGTGCCACTGTATAGAGGGGCAGATGCACGTTAAATATGTCGTGGTTCAATGATTGATTGATTCAATATTAACGTCGCATTGTTCAGCTACACGAGGGCTTTTAGCGAAGGAGCACGTAATTTTGAACCATGGTCAAGTGACGCGGACGACACCTGAGCTGGCACCCCCCTCTCCTAACTACCACACCACACCATCGGGAGGACGTTTCAGCTCTCGACAGATTTAAGGTGCATCGCTGCCCTACACGGCGGGTCTTTAGTGGTACTGGGCTCGAACTCGTGACAAGGCAAGCCACGATCCGATACCTATACCACTCGGCTACCGCGGCCACTTCGTGGCTCAAAGATTTCCCGTTGGTATGGTAGTGTTTGAAGAGAAAGAACCAGCTTGTCACTTTACTATGGTTCTAAATTATGAGGTACGCGCGCGTCGCCAATAGGCTTCGTGTTGCTTGGTGTGGTTTTAAATTTTAAAGAGTAAGAGGCCATTTCAGGTGTCGTTCTCTTCATTTAGCAGCTGATCAAGATTACGAGACTCGTCGCTGATAGTTCACCTGTTACCTCGTAGTGCTACGTGAATGAGCTATCAAGCAATCCTTCTTTTGAGAACTGTATCTTTGTGTACTCTCTTTTCATTCAGGGTTATTATTTACGGAAGAATATATTTTCGAAACTATTTGTAAAATATATGTTAATGTCTTGTCGTGGCTCTCCATACATTCAGTTGAGAGCTTGTGTGATTTTATTTTGATGTTTTTTTCCTTTTTTTTTCTAAACGGTAGCAATTAGCAGTTATTAATAGTAAAAGACATTAATCAGAGTTGAGTAAAGTAAGAACAAGAAAAATCATTTCACGCATTAAAACATTTGTAGAAGATTGCCGAGTGGTAACCGAATTCTTTATTATAAAACATGACATCGCATATTTTAAAAGTAGACATTTAATGTAAAATTCACCAATAAGATCGCGTGACTTTGCCATTAGCGATAAATAAATCAACATTGTGGCGACTTACCACAACGATGCTCATAGCCTGAAATAAATATTTATCAACAATTTAAAAAGTTGTCCTACGAAACCACAAAAAAGAAAAAGAATTGATTTTGCAATAAATAAATAAATAAATTGTGTTTTATATCATTGCATTTTTAAAGTCTTATGATTTTATATTAAAAATTGTTTTCCTCAAGTAAATTTGATAATTTTGTGTAGTGTCAAAAGCGCCTTTCTTTTCTTGTACATATAAAAGCATACTATGATTAAAGCATGTTTTTCTTAAATAATATTTCTGCTTATGGGTTTTACTAATGAGTGTGTTTGAGACTTAATTACGAATTTAAAGACCATCCTTTTTTCTAAAGAATCAAAGACACGAGTGTTTCTATTGCCATATCTGAACTATCTTGAAATGAAATATGTCGCGCGCTTGCTCCACATACTATTTATTTATCAAGTTCTTCTTTGTGATGTCACTCTTCAAAGCGCATTTGATTTGAGGTCGTTATTGTGAATATTCATTATGAAAAGTTTAATACAATGCCGGTTTTTGTTGATTGTCTCCATGAAACTTGGTTTTAAATTACAAATTATAGCTTCTAGATTCTGTTTTCTGTTCTATTTTATATTGTACTATATATAAAGTTCAATCTCTCTGCCGAGTGGTCACGGTCACGAACTTGTAGCCGGCGTTTTTTCACAATTCCTACTATTACTCTCCCTATATATATTTCTTTATATATATGTATCTTGTTCAAATTTTCAATTGTTAATAAAATACTTTTTATTCATCCATTCAAGTTCAGAGACATTTTTTTAACTTGTAGTGGATGACACTTGATGTTAATACAGTTTATTCAGATATAAATTCATTAATTAAATTAAAAAATGAATAAATAGTAACAAACAAGAATAATAGTTCAAGATCATACATACATGGCCGCGGTAGCCGAGTGGTATAGGTATCGGACCGTGGCTTGCCTTGTCACGAGTTCGAGCCCAGTACCACTAAAGACCCGCCGTGTAGGGCAGCGATGCACGTTAAATCTGTCGAGAGCTGAAACGTCCTCCCGTTGGTGTGGTGTGGTAGTTAGGAGAGGGGGTGCCAGCTCAGGTGTCGTCCACGTCACTTGACCATGGTTCAAAATTACGTGGTCCGTCGCCAAAAGCCCTCGTGCAGCTGAACAGTGCGACGTTAATATTCAATCAATCAATCAAGATCATACATAAAAGAAAATCGTTCGTTGTGTCCCTGTAGCGCAATGGATAGCGCGTTGGACTTCTAATCCAAAGGTCGTGGGTTCGAATCCTGCCTGGGATGGCCCAATTTCTGAATGCATACATAGTAACAAACAAAAATAATTGTTTAACACCGTGAATAGAAAGAAAAATGAAAAATTGCAAGGAAAATCGCTTTTTATTTTGCCACTTAATAGTGTGATTCTTTCATACGTATATACATGTTTATATTAATTGTAACTATTTAATAAAAAGCTAAAATAAAATTTTTCTTTGTTCATCTAAGTAGGAATTGACTTAAATTTTTTTTTTTATATTACTTGTTAGATTACATATAGCTTGTGGTACGTCCTCATAGTTTAAAGATTTATCATCTTTGGCTTTTAGAAATCCGTTTTAAAACCATACCTGTCTGAACTTCTGTCATTTAGGTGGATATGTATTTTACTCTCCAGATTTGACAATCACCGTATCTTGTTCCCTTCAAGTACATCGCATGGTCAGACCTAAATGACAGACAGTCTGTATTAAAGAAATAATGATTGATGAGTTGTGCAGACAAGGGGAAAAGTTGCAAAGATTATAACGCTTGTTAGGAGGGCAACTGAGCTGATCAAAAGAAAAGATATCTTACAACAGGTTATAAATCAAATCTTGCAACGTCTTCTGCTATTGTGTGTTACACCATCCGATTTGGATCATCTTTGGAATATCTATTTTCTCCTCTCCCTGTACTCAGATACCGTTTTACGCAAATGATGCTTGTGTGAATGATATAAAATGAAAAATGAAATTTGACTTTAAACATAGGTTTTGTTTCTGCAATATAGAAATAGTTTTGCTGAGTTTTTTGGTTCGAAGGATTTTGAAGAAAGAAGTAACTGAATCCGTGCAATATTATACACATTACTTATTTTTTAAATATGTATGCGTGATTTAATTTCTGCTCATCAATTACATAGGCAATGTATTCATTCATGATATGGATATAAAATTTCTCCCAAAGCTTCATAGTAGTGAACAAATGTGACTATATTTTTAATTTATAAGCATCAATTGTTAGTATGTGAGCTTCTTTTTTCCAAACTTCATTTTTTTTTTATAGTATACTCCTTCATTTTTGCTTGCTGTGTATAAAGTTAAGAGGTGATAAAAATAATTTTAATCCATTAAAAAAATTAAATATTTTCTCAAGTTATTTCCTGTTAAAATTTGTAATTAGAAATTAATTTAAAAATAGGTTGTTTATTTTTCAGTTCTAATAAATTCACGCTATTTGTAAAAATGCTGGATTGGGAATGCTTCCCCCGATGAGCTATGAAAAATTAATAGTTAAACAATAAATTTTACATGGGTTGGTCAATAATCAATGTCTTGTTAGTGTCATTTTTGTGAATTTTACACATGATATTTCGTAAATGCATCTTTTTGGAGAGACTTGAGTGGCCGCGGAAGCCTTGTCAAGGTCACGAACTCGTGGCCGGCGTGTCATAAGTTCGAGCGTAGTACCACTGAAGATCCACCATGCAGAGAGTGCCGATGCACGTTAAATATACCGAGGCTCAAACGCCCTCTCGTTGGTGTGGTAGGAGAGGGTTGACAGCTCAGGTGTCAAGCTCGCCATTTGACTCTGGTCCAGAATCGCAAGACCCGTCGCCAAATAGTTTCGTGCAGCTTTATAGGGCGTAAATATAACTCTAACTCGAAGAAATTGGATCGAGTAATCTTTCTAATTCATTGGTTTATATCAGTGGTCTTCAAAATTTTTCAAATAACGGAACCCCTAGAACCAGAAGATGTTTTCGTAGAACCCCTAGAACTAGAAAGTATTTTTGTGGAACCCTATTTCACTCACAGACTTAGAAGAGTATATTTTAAAATAATATTTAAATTAAGTCAATATCTTATTGGTACTTTTTGTAAAGGTAATTAAAAAAGAATTACATCTAGATATTTATTATAAATGCGAAAGTGTGTGAGGATGTTTGTCCGTCTTTCACGCAAAAACAACTGAATGGATTTTAATGAAACTTTACAGTAATATAGCTTATACATCAGAATAACACATAGCCTATAATTTATAGCTTAGGCTATAATTTATAAAGATATTGTGTGAAGTGTCCAAAATATAACGACATTTGTCAAGTAAGTAGGAAAAAATACTGCCATCTGCAAGCAATTATGACGTACGCTGCAAAAAAAACCACGACAGCAATATCTATCTTTTATTTATGAAGAAAATTTTTTGTTTTGTCTACGCAAGGCGCTGGCTTCTAATTTATTCCTGTGCTAGTCCATTATAACTAAAAATTTTAATCAATTTTAAATAGAATTTACTCATTAATAATATTAATCTGTAATCCAAGTGTCACCCACCCATGCATTATGTTTATTAACTGGGATATATGCTTGTGATTTTTTTTTCCCGCACAAACTGTCGAAGTCTAGGCCTATTGAAATTAAATGCAATCACATTACATATTTTGTGCTTATTTGATTTCTTTGCTTTAATTTTGTAGCCACTTATGGTGAGAAATATTTTAAACTTATACACATTGCTCTGAGCGGCATTAAAATGTTTAGCAAAATACTGTGTATTTTGCGGGATTTACAACATAAGATTTAGAAGCTGTTCTTGATTAAATTTAGAGTTTTGATATCGAATCTGTTGATAGGTCCATAAGATGTTCCCTCTCTTTTATTGTTGGTGTTTTTTCAACAAAAGTCAAATGATTCTATTTCCATTGGAAAATTATTTAGTTTTGCAAGACATTGTACTAACGAGTATAAAATTATCTCTTGGAACCCGGGATAGTAAACAATAAAATATTTACAATCTAGTAGGGTAATATATAAAAATAAAACATTTTAATATTCTTTTACATTATATTATAATAAAAGTTTAAAAAGTATTGCGAAATAAAGCTATTATGTAGAAATAAAATAATCAGTTTCTTAATGACATGGATGAGCTGTAAATTTTTGTGGGAGTATAAACTTCATAGAGAACGTGAATCCATTTTTTTGCATGCATATTTGTAATAATTTTTTTTTTCGATTTTTTTTATTATGACTTGTGGAACCTCCGGGTTCCGTGGAACACAGTTTCAAGACCACTGCTTTATATGTATAAATTTTTTTTCTGTTTATTGGAGTAGTACCCAGTGGTCATGGTCGCGAACGCA